TTTTGAGTTACAGCCAAAGTTTTTCATGTTTGACTGGCTGTAATTGCCAATTATTTATCAGGATTTTATGATTTTATCGAGATTTTTATCTAGGATTTCATATATCAAAAACTCCACATTAATTCTGTATAAAATTGAATTTTGGTAGAATCAGCTGATTTTCTCATATGTTGTAGTTTATGATTTTCTGAACAAAAAATCTCCAAATTAATATATCCAAAATCGAAACATAAGATATTTTGAGACATCTTTAAGACGTCTTTAAGACGTCTTTAAGACACCTTTAAGAAATAATATATATCTAAAAGATGTCTTAAAAACGTTTCATGACCAGATTTTGGACATATTTCGACTTTGATGCTACTCGGGAAAATAGACTGGAAGCTAAATAATAGACAATTGCTGCTTTACAGCCAGTCAAACGTGAAAAATTCGAGCTCTGCGAGTTGTAACTATCCAACATTTAGCTCTGACATTACTACATTTTTTGTTCAGCGAGTTATAAGCTATAACACATAAAAAATAGCCAATTTCACCGAAAGCCAAAATCCTATATATTTAAAACGGGATCTTTTAGGCATAATAATTGAATATAACATAAAGATACCTAAAATTTAACTATGATATGACGATGAGGAAGACAAAATTGAAAAACTAACTCAAGTCATAAGCTACAATATTTGAAAAAAGCCAATTTCCATCAAAAGTTAACATCCTATATATTTAATAGTAATTTTTCAGGTATAATATAGGGATACCTAAAATTCAATTATGAAGATGAGGAAACCAAAATTAAAAAACCAGTTAATGCTCATAGAGGAAGCTTAATGAGCGAAATAAAAGCAATGTGCAAGTTCCTATTCGCACATTTTTTGATTGGAAAAATACTCGAAAATTGTAGATTGTGCGCAATATTTAATTTTAAGACTATTACACTTTTTGTTCAGCAAGTCATAAGCTACAATATATAAAAAAAAACAGCCAATTTTCACCAAAAATCAAAATCCTACATATATATTTAATGGTAATTAAATTTCAGGTGTAATATATAGGGATACCTAAAATTCAATTATGCTATGAAAATGAAGAAACCAAAATTGGAAAACCAGCTTATATATGCTCATAAAGGAAGCTTAATGATCGAAATAGAAGTAATGTGCAAGTTTCCAATTCGCACACCTTTGTTTTGAAAAATACCCGAAAATTGTAGTACATAGACTCATTGATCCGCAGATGAGCGGATGAGGCTGCGCATCTGCATGTAGTAACTAATCAGGCAATTAACGAGGATTTTTCTTATGTGTCCAACTGTCTCGTCTTCTCCCTTCCGTTCCTTATCACAAGGAACGAGTCTGACAATGATTTAATGAGTAGCCGGCAAGCACCGCTGTTGCCATTATGGAATTCTGTGCCAATGAATCTCGCTGCTGCCGCTGAATGCGATATACAACGCGACACATAATGGATCACAACTGCATGTATGTATATGCATATGCACATATACAGGGTGGCTGCGATCCAAAAAGCGTCGCGTTGGTTAAAATGCGATGTGCATTTGCATTTCTAATGACTAAAAAGAAGCGCAATAAATTCTGAGAGAGAGATCACCTTGTAAGCATATTGTAGTCGCATTAATGGAATCCTAAACGTTCTTGAGAAGTCTGCGGTTTTAGTCCTGTTTTATCGACAAAATGTGAGATTAGATAAATCTATTTATTGGCTATACGGATTGTTTTTTACCTGAAATTAGAGCACTTTGCAATTTGTTAATACTAATACTTTAATTTGTACAGGAAGAAGATTTATCAATCTGTATAGTCTTATATATTTAGGTATAGAATTATAAATTGATGAAGAATTCATAATTCTATACCTAAATAATATGAGACTATACACAGTTTGATAAATCTTTTTCCTGTACAAGTTAAAGAATTGATATTAACAAATTGCAAAGTGCTCTAATTTTAGATAAAGAAATCCGTATAGCTAATAAATAGATTTATAAGATGAATCTAATTCACATTTTGTCGATAAAACAAGACTGAAACTTAGGTTAGCTTTTAGAATCCCTTTAATCGCGTTTTAATTCTCGCAGATTTCGTATTTAGAGCAAACTTTGTCGACGTGTTTAGCCTGTTGTATTTATTTTCAGCCAAGGCACGATATAATTGCTAAGATAAATGTTTTTTTAATAAATAATGTTCTAATCTCCTCGCGCGATATTTTTTCCGCTGATTATTGCGACAAGTTCAAGTGCGTCATATAATATACTGCTATAAAAAATTCATCGCCAAGATGTTCTCTTTAAAGTACGACGTTCGCGCAATTTAAGAGATAATTACGATAAATTGATGTGTCATTAACTTCTCCAACGTGAATAAATCACTCAGCTCTTTATTTACGATTTGATAATAACAATGGGTCCTCGGGAAAGAAGAATCGAGGTCGAGTCTCTTTTCTATAGGCTCTGTTAACGGGAGATTAAAAATCCATTTTATTCAAGAATGAGAGACGAATACGTGAAATTCAACGCGTCAATGTAAACGTTTTAGATTTTACATGCGCAATTATTGATAAATAGTGTGATATCACCTGTTTAAACTTAAAAATGTGTAAAAGCCTGGAAAAGTTAATTACAGCTGCAAAATAATTTAGGGAGAATAAAATGCATTATATACATTTCGAATGAAGAAGTATACGTTAAATAAAGTTATATTTGAATTATGATTTTACTTAGAGAATCGTTATCAAAAATCGCGACGTTCGAGTATCTTTATGGGTCCAGGCAACAAATTGCAGGAGAGAAGAGAGGAAGAGGAGGGCAAACTAGGTCACATAAGATCTAAATAGAGCAGAGAGCAAAGTTTATTCGATACACGTGTCATGTATGGTTATCAGTCTGTCGACGATAGCTCATCATAATCCCAGCAAACACAATATATAAATGTTATATACTCAAGCATGTTACATGTAACGTATATGTTAATTGTAATTTCCCACTCATAGATGTAACATTTTTAATATTACATATATTACATTGTAGTTATATTGTCATTATATCCCAAGATAGCACTGACTTATCAATACATCAGTGTGCTATTTGGTATATAATTACAATACAACTACAATGTAATATATGTTATATTAAAATGTTACATCTATGAGTGGGAAATTACAACTAACATGGATGTTACATGTAACGTACACGTTATATTACCTGTTATATTCCGTTTTATTACAGCAATGTAACAATTATATATCAGTGTTTACTAGGATAATGCAATACAAGCTAAACAAATGGCCAAATAATTGCATCATTAGAAATAGAAATACATTTTACTCCTTGAAAAAGATATAACGAACGAATTATAATAATTGCATGTAATAAGCACGTAATAAGAGGATAGATTTTTGCTTTGAACGAAAGTACCCCGCACTAATCTTATGTAAAATGGATTAAATCAGTTGGATTTTTTATATGTTGTAGCTTTATGATCTGCTGCACAAAAGATGTAATAGTCTCAAAGCCTAAATAATGGACAGCTACTGAGCAGAATTCTTTTGTATTTGACTGGTTGTAAATTAGTAACTATGTGTGTCATTTAGCCTATTACATTTTTGTTCAGTGGGTCATAAACTATATCATATAAAAAACCAGCAGATTTGATTAATGTTCCAATTTTATATAGGATCGATGCGTAATTTTGCATATATGTAAAGTCTTAAATAAAATTGGACCTCAATCAAATTAGTTGGTTTTTTATATGTTGCAGCTTATGACTTACTGAATAAAAATGTAATAGGCTCAATACTAAATAATAGACAATTACTAATTTACAATCAGTCAAATGTGAAAAACTCAGGCTTTGCGATCTCAATAATTGTTCATTATTTAGCTTTGAGGCTATTGAATTTTTTGTTCAACAGATCATAAAGTACAACACATGAGAAAACCAGCAGATTTTAATAAGATTTAATATAAAATCAGTGTGTAATTTTTGAATTTATGTAGATAAAATTGTGAATTTTGATAAAATCAATTGATTTTCTCACATGTTGCAACTTATGATCTACTAAACAAAAAGTAATAGGCTCAAAGCTAAATAATAGTTCACAATCGGTCAAATATAAAGAACTTTTGCTTTGTTTGACTGACTGTAACTCAATAATAATTAAGAGTTTAACAAGGCTCTGTAATATAAATATAAATTTAACGTATAAGACAGGCAATAAGAGCCAAATCGCGGATGACAATGCGTTATCCTAACGAAACTAAACTATTTTTTCGTTAGAATTAAATACCGGTGCACAAGGCACCAAATTTTACTTGGACACGGCCAAGATTTTAAGATATGAAATAATCTCATATTTGAGATTTAATTTCAATACCCCTTTAACCCCCTACGGAAATAAATGAATGCAAGAGAAAATATAGATCCGAAAGTCGTTGAATCGGGAAACGAACCCGAGACCTTTCGCTTGCCGACAATTATCAATAATAATTGTCCATTATTTAGATTTGAGGCTATTGAATCTTTTGTCACATATATAAGGTACAACATATAAAAAAACTATAAGATTTTACTAAAGTTCAATTTTATATCAGTGCGTAATTTTTGAATTTATGTAGATGAAATTGTGAATTTTGATTAAATCAATCGTTTTTCTCACATGCTGCAGCTTATAATCTAGTGAACAAAAAAAGTAATAGGATCAAAGCTAAATAATAGTTCACAATCAGTCAAATATGAAGGACTTGATCTTTATTTGACTGACTGTAACTCAATAATTATCCATTATTTAGCTTTGAGGCTATTGAATCTTTCGTTCAGCGGATTACAATAAGCCACAACATATAAAAAACCAGCTGATTTAACCAAATCCATTTCATCCAAGATTAGCGTTGACTACATTTTCTATTCAAGTCGCATGATTTGTAAGACAAAAGAGACTCGTCCCAGAGAGATAATAAAAAGTTTGCGTGCAGAGATTGTACTTACAGCTCGCTCGCCACTTCCATGATTCGCTTCCTGTGTCCTGTGCGTGTTCCAATGAGAGCCGCTCGGCAAAAGCGTTTACATAGAGCGTCACTTCCAGTTAGCCGGAAGCGACGAGAGTCCCGGTGGGGAAGACCGGAGGATCACCGGATCGTCGAGGGTCACTAAGAGCGAATCTCCGTATCTCCCTCTTTTTTTTTTATCCCTCTCACGTCGCCGTTTCTTCGGAAGTAGACGCACGCGGTGCGGTGATGTACGACGGAGGGATTAAGTCGAGAGGGATGAGAAGCGATGAAGGACGCTAAGAAAAAGAGGTCGAGGACGCGCGTGGACGTCGGAGGCTCTCCGGCGTCGATTAAAACGTTAATCCTGATCGATTTCCTCTCTTTCTCTTTTTCTCTCGCAATTGCAAGCGGAAACGCGATTCAGCGATTCCCGAACACTTGGGAGTCGGGGATTAAATCGCGCGGATCGAGGAGCGAGCTTCCGCTTGAAAGTTGATCACGCACCGTCGTCGTACACCGTCGTCGACGCGACGAACAAACTGGATGGACAAACTGCCTGTATCTCGTTAGCCAGGAGAGGATGTATGCTGATGGGGCTCTCAATCTGTGCCACCTTGGGTGGTACGATTAGCTATGGCTATCTCCCCCTAACGGCGATCTCTTCCTGCCGCTACCGGCTAGCCTATCATCGCGATATATACGAATATGCGATATATATATATGTATATATATATAATATACCGGCGGTTACGACCCCATCGGAAGCTACCAGGTCTCCCTATTGTTTGTCGGCGGCTTGTCCACTCGATTACTCGACGATCCGCCGTTCACGTGACTCTTCTCGCTTCCAATCTAGCTTTCCTTTCTTCGTCTAAAGCCGAATTCTCTCTTCTCTTCTTTTTCGGGGCGAAACTCGTTTATTGTCAACTTTGGTAGCTTTGGTATAGTGTGTTGGAGTTACTTTGGTAATAAGGGTTTCGACAGAGACGAGAACCTTGGAAATGAAGTTAAACTCGTCGATCAATGATCAGTCCTTCTATCGCAATCGTTATCTGCAACACACGGTGTTGTGCTTAAATGATTTTAAATTAGCTAGATAAAGATGAGGTGTAAATATGTAAATTAATCTTTTAAATAAGATAAAGATAATTTTGTTTTAAATATATCTAGATAAAAGATAAAAATTATATGGTGATTTATCTTAACTTCCAGATAATATGATTATTTTTAAGACTGCTTATGTAAATATATGATTATAATAAAATGTAAATTATTAAAAGAAATATAAAAATATATTCATACTTTTATTTATAAGTTTTTATCGCTTACTGCTTAAATTCTATTACTTAGTAGTATTTTGATACTATAATTCTAAATCAAATTATCTGAATATTATTCTAGATAATTAAATAAAGATAACACTTTTTCTCATCTAAGATGCAGATACATATTTTTATCATCTATATAAAGATAAGATGACGCCAAAGTTTCATCTAGATAATCATCTATATCATTTTCTTTAGATAACAGTAAACATTGACAATCCAGAACATTAATAAGGCGTTATAACATATTAATGGCATGCGTTGAATCTCGATATTACGAGCTACTTTTAACTCGACTCTCTATACATATCGACGATTTTTTTTAGCATTTATTTTCAAACGCTGCTAATACGGCTTGTGATCAAACGTCCGCGACGTTAATGAGCAGTAATCGCTGTTTTTTTTTTTTACGTAACGCGTATCAAAAACAAGTTCAAACAAATCCGCATGAATACATGCATAATCTGATTTCATTATTGTTGTTTTTACATCGGCCTTTTTCCACTACGACACTTGTCAATTTGTCAGATTCGATGCTTCCTTTTTTCTAATTTTTCTCACTCTTCTTCTTTTCTTTGCATTTATATATCCAATATTTTACCATCATTGTGATAAGAATCCTTGAGCGAGACGTTTGATGAATTGTAAGCACACAATTAATGCAACGTATGCAACGTGTAATCTATTATATAATACATGACGTTATAGACGAAAAATAAAAAGGTAAACAGCTGTGGGTTAATCTAATAGAAGATATAAATCGATAAAATAAAAATTACCTTTCCTACCGATATATATGTGTATCTCAAAATTATATCTCAACGTTACAATGACGATTAATTGATAAAAGATAATATTAACATAAGGTAATATTAACGGAGTTGTCGCGTGATAATTGTACCGCGAAATTATACAGCAGTCGATTCCGACGCGCCGTAATTTATTCGTGATCGTTGTTATTAAGCAAATTTGCGTATCGCACGCATCTGAATCCATTAGCGTCGCGAGAGAAGACGGAAGAGACGGAAGAGAGGCTCGTGGATGCATTTTACGAGGCGCGTAAGCGGTTTGACAGCTTTAATTATGATATACAAGAAAAGATCGACTCGGTGGTGAGCTAATCATGCGGAATAATCGACGATACGTTTCACGCCTCGATTATTTCGGCGTTACACCTTCTTCTTACAACGTGCAATCAAGCGCGGCAACGACTGGTAATGAAAGGTCCCGAAATGTCCCCCCTTTTTGCGACGTGTGTACTCGCTTCAAATTTCAACACCCTCGATTTTGTTCCCCAGATTTGCAAGATTAATTTCGTAGCAACCTTCGAAAATCCATAATCCCATTCGTTAATCGAGATATCGAACCGTATACGCGAGATTCACGTACCTTTGGCCTTCGTGGACGTTTATTATATACCCTTTTTTTATTTTAAACCTTTTTATTTACATTTTTTCTTTATTGAAAAAAAAAACAGGATAAATATGGAAAAATATTTTTAACTGTAGAAAATTTATAATAAATCAAGAGTTGAAGAAAGTTTAACGTGTTGTTACGTCAATATCTTTCTTTACATAAACGTAAGATAAATTTATTTAAGAATGTGCGAAATAAATATACAGGGTGTTTCAAAATTCGCAAATCATATGCCTAGAGGAGATTCCTGGGAGCATTTGGAGCCGATTTTTCCTCAGCAAAACTGTCAAGGCACTATATAATTTTCGAGTCAAGTGATTGAAAATAAAGGATTTTCCGCTTCCAAACTAAGTTTGTCGAAATAAAATATTAATAAAACCATATTTTTTAATGAATTTCCATGTATAGATTTTAATAGAATTTTAATTTTAGGTTTCGTTACATAATGGCAAAAATTGGGAACATGCAAAAAATGATATTTTTCAAATGACCTCAGGAATCCATCATTAACAGGTGATTCGCGAATTTCGGGACACTCTGTATATTCGTATTGGGATTTATTTTAAGAGAGAATATTAATAACAAGTTAGATAAGAAATACTGTACTTAGTGTTAAACATAAAAAAAACCTTACGCAAAAATAAAAACTTTTGCACAAGTTCACATAGTCCAACCAAAGGCATACGAATGGTAATTACATCTAATTAAAACAAGTATTTAGTCCCTCCCATATATTAATAAATCTGTGAACGAAGAATAGTGCACTTATTGTTTGCCTCAAAATATGAATAAACACGTCGCACTCTTCAGTTTCAAATCCAAGTTTTTTTTTCTCAAATTTCAGAAGTTTTTAGTCTACTTTTCGGTGCTTGATACTTTTATCACGCAGTCATATACAAATACTCTTAAATCATTCATGAAAAGACTTGCGTACCGTTGAGACGAGACAGACACGCCAGGAATTATTATCGCATCGCGATATTTCGCGCTGGATTACGCGCGCTCTTCAGATAACGCGAACTCTCGGCTGCGCGCGACGCGACGACGTTCGCGGGACTGTGGCGGTGCGGCGTGAAGTTGCTTCTTTATAGCATGGTGTGTGCGGAGACGGACGGTTAGGAGAGCCGCGCGCTTCGTGACGTTTATGCCACGCGTTCGAAAAGCGCGCGAGAGAAGGATGGAGCGCGAATAAGAAAGAGCGAGAGGGAGAGAGGAAAATGAAACTCACGATTAGGTGGATGAAGCAAAAAATTACGTTAAATGCGCGTTTCCTTAATAAGATCGCGCGGAGACCCTCTTTCGAAATTTTCAGCAGTTTTGAATAGATCACGCTAATCAACAAAAACAACTTTTGTTTAGTTGCCAAGAATGTTGAGACGAATTTAGGATGTTTTGGGCATATCCAAAGATAATTCGTAAATCTAAAACAATATTGGGTAAATCCAAAAGTGATAATGGTTTTGCTGAATTGGCTCTAGTTTTTGAGATGATGGTTAATCAAATTATGATTTTACCCCAATACGACCTGTAGCTGCTGACATATGCAGTAGGGTTTGGTTTGTCTTTTTAACATTATTTTCATGCCTCTTCCTCTTTCAAACTTTCAGCAGTTTTGGATAGATCACATTGATCAACAAAAACAACTTTTGTTTAGTTGCCAAGGATGTTTGGACGAATTTAGGATATTTTAAGGATACCAAATCCAAAAATGACAATAGTTGTGTCGAATTGATTCTAGTTTTTGAGATTCAAATTATGATTTTACCCTAATACAACCTGTAGCTATACTGACATAATGCAAAGGGGATTGGTCCGTTTTTTTTGTTCTAACGTTATCCTGATGACCCACATAAAAGAAAATAGTACAAACAGCATTTCTCTAATGCATTAATGATTATTAACTGGATCAACTTATTTTGCTATATTATTATTTTACTGAATACAACATTTTTATGATTTAAAACAGTTTCCATATGGATTGGAGATCAGCTACGTCTAACCATTACATTTCTTGCACTTTTTATTTTAAAAAATAGAGCCAATCTAAGAAAACTAATGGCCACATTCGAAATCAGCGACACAACAAGTTATCCCAAAATCGATCTAATATAATCAGTGTTGTCATTAGTGTGAGTGAATGACTTTTGCGACTTTTGGACGATTCCTCCTGATAGAGAGCAGCGTCCCCTGTGGGACGCAGAGAGTAAATATCCCGCGCTCGCGCTCTACCCTCCTTCACCTCACCTTCCCGCGTCCTCCTCCACCAACTTCGCGCGGTCGCCATGGCAAATTCATTGTCACCCGGATTCTATCTGCGCGCTTCTATTTCCGTCTGACGAACGCAACGAATCAGATGTCAGGAGGTACTGCCCACGCGGCACATCGCGAGGATCGATACAACGCCTCCTCCTGAATTTCGGATAATGAGCGAGACGCCGAAGAGAGCGCGTCTCTCTTTCCCTCTTGGACTACCAATTCAAAAACTTTACCATACACTGTTGCTCGTGAGACGAAAAAAATTCGATATATGATTTCCCTTGACGCGATGACATACTCGATAAAAGAGGAGGGAGAAGAAAGAAGTTGGCGCCGTAGACGAGTGAAATTTCGGAGTATGCAGCATCCAAGCGGTTTTGGCGCGCGATCCGTCTCTCAGAGAAGAACTCGCTCGTTTTGCATCAATATCCCCTGTTGCTTGCGAACCCTTTATTCTCCCTCTCCTTTTTTTATCGATTTTCAGGACGCAGCGCTGCTGCGGGAAGACCTTCCGGATTCTCTTCCCCAGATCCGTCGACGTCCTTTACGCGGAAAACGCGACACCTAGACTTCGTTCCTTCGGAAATCCAGGGATTCACACCATAGCACACCGATGAGAGAGAGAGAACGCCGTTAGTTAGGCTGACGAGACGCGGGACTGCTTTACCGCGACTACACGCGTGCGCTAGAAGACGAGACTCGCTCGCCGCGCCTGTTGCGTGGAGACAGTCGCGAGAGCACACGCGAGATTGCGAGCCGTACGATACTCGAGCGCGGGGTAATTTGAGCCAGGCTCGAGTTCGAAAAGCGCGCGCGGGGAACCGGGACCTCCGACCGCGTGGCTCCGTCCGTCGCCTTTATAGGTGGAGCCAGTTGGCTGCTGCTGCTGCTGCCTCTCGACTGTGATCGCTTGCTTCGCTATATTTGTATCACAAGGAGCATTACAGTATAATGAACTAAAACAAGAAATGAGAATTTGGCATTTTGCACATACGTCAGTTGCTTTTGTAGAAATCGTTTATCTTGAGAAATATATACAGGGTGTAACCAGTGTTAATCAGATATAAAAGTTGTGGAGTCATCATATTTTTATATAGATAATAAAAATACGTATCTATATTTGCATCTTGCAAGTGAAAAATAATGTTATTTTTATTAAATTATCTAGATTAATGTTCAGATATAGTTTGATTTAGAATCATAAAATACGTAGTAAAACTTATATAAGCAGTAAAACAAGAAAAACTAATAAATATAATAATATTGATATATTTTTATAATTAAAATTTTTTTTGTAACCGTGTTTACACAAGCGGTTTTAAAAATATAATAATATTAGCTGAAAGTTATCTAGATGAATCGCCATATAATTTTATCTAGATATATTTAAAACGAAATTATCTTCATCTAACAATAAGATAAATTTACATATTTTTATCTCATCTTATCTAGTTATTTTAAAAATCATAAGCATATATAACTTCCAGATAATATACATATATTATTTTTAAGATTGCTTATGTAAACAAAGTTATAAAAATATGTAAATTATAAAAAAAATAATATAAAAATATATTCATACTTTTATATTTATAAGTTTTTATTGTTTACTGTTTCAGTATTTTTATATGGGCTACGGCCCGCTAAACCAAATTATCTGATCTTTACGCTAGATAATTTAGTATAAAGATAAAACTTTTTTTTCATCTAATATGCAGATACAGATAATACATATATTGGTTATCTATAAAAATAAGATGACACCAAAATCTTTATCTAGATGGTCATCTATATAATTTTATTTAAATAACAGCAAACACTGGACACCATTAGATTGTCTGTCCAAGTTGAAGTTGATTTTTCCTCAACAAAAATATCGAGGTTATCATTTTTTGCAAGTTTCCAATTTTTGCCATCTTGTATCTTTGTAACTAACAATAATAAGCCTTAAATTAAAATTCAAAGTAAACTCTACTTGAAATTAATTAAAGAAGAATGTAGTTTTTTTAATATTTTAAAAACAAAGTCTATTTCTTTTTTAATCATTGATAATTTGAAAGTTATATGAATGTCTCAAAATTTTCATCACTAAAGAAAAATTGTCTTCAAATTTTTGTTCAATTACACCCTCTATATATGTATCTAAAATATATATATATATATATATATATATATATATTTTATATCTTTATTCTTGTCACATTTTTTAATCCTATAGCGTAATGAATATCGTAATGTATACACGCATTTAACTATATCGGAAATTTCATAATGAATGATTAAAGCTCCTGTTCCTGTTTACATTATGTAACTGATGATGCCGATTTAGGTATAAATAATTAATCTTGACGGCATGTCAATTGATGTAGTATTCTGTATTTTATCCATTTGCTTGCCTGCAATTAGCAAAAGAGCAATTTAAAATACCCCACAATTGAAGAAAATTAACAAAAAGAGGAAATGATCCAAAAACATAATATAAAAAACTCAATACGCAAAAGTTATATATAAACATTAACGCAGACATATATAGAGCAGTCGTCGATTACGCGACTATTTAATAGTCAAAGAAGAGGAAGAGAGAAGGACGTGCCGTTTTTTTCTAACTACATTAATTCAATCTTTTAGCCCGCGCCAGCGGAAACACACCGTCAACATTAATAAATATTATTTTTCTCGTCTACATCAATTTAGGGGGTGAAGGGAAGAGGAATTCAAATCTCAAATTAGAGATTGTTCCTTGTCTTAGCGAATTGCTAAGTATTAAGCTCTTCACAGCAATATATTCTTCTATCCTTGTTATTACGATAAGAGCGTTTTATTAATATTATTTGTATTAATAAATGTTATCCGAGCTTGATAAATTGGGAAGTTGGAAGTGTTTTCTCTCTCTACGACTCTTAATCTCTACATGTCAAAATAATTTTGAAAAATTACTATCGAGATGTTCCTTCAGCCAAAAAGCTAACAATAAGCGAAGAATAAAAAAAATATCGACATTTTTTAGGATCATATGAAATCACGATCTAAATGAAAATCGCATATATATGAAATGACATATCGTGCATTACAATATAGAATAAGCGGACCATCGCGAGAGAGATGGAAGAGACTAACGGGATTATCATGTCTAAGTGAGTTGAGAATCACTGACGCGTGTGTAGTCGGCTACGTTTTAACATTGTTCAACGTATGCTTATACAATTCAACGCCACGCGCGCGAGCAAAGTTTCCGAAGAAAATTCATTCTCATCCGCGTAATCAATCGTACACATGTGATCCTATTACTCTATTCCCGCAAAAAAAATATATCCGCGACGGTAGAGATGTCATTGGGTTTGTTCTCTGTTGCTGCACTAGTGAACTGGTGCAGACTGGTGCAATAAGTTAAAATGAGACAATATTATTATACTTGTTCACCAGCAATAAAGAACAAACCCATTCAGATATAGGTAGTCGACTGTACATAGTGTTTGCTGTTATCTAAATGAAATTATAGAGATGATCTAGATGCAATTTTGGCGTCATCTTATTTTTATAGATAACTAATATATATGTATTATCTGTATCTACATATTAGACGAAAAAGTATTATCTTTATACTAAATTATCTAGAATAATGTTCAGATGATTTGAGTTAGGATCATACCACATAAAAACATTTAAGCAGTAAACGATATTATAAAAACTTACAGATAAAAATATGAATATATTTTTATATTTTTTAAATAATTTACATTCTTTAAAATTATAACTATGTTTACATATAAGCGGTCTTAAAAATAATATCATCTGTGGAAGTTATTTTAAATAAATTGCCATATATAATTTTATCTTTTATCTAGATATATTCAAAACAAAATCATCTTGATTTTATCTGAGATAAATTTACATATTTTATCTCATCTTTATCTAATCTTTAGCTAATTTTGAAATCATCTAAGCACAATACTGAGTGTAACTGAAGAAATACATATATAATAAGCATAGCATCCAATGTTGTGCTTAGATGATTTAAAAAATAACTGGATAAAGATGAGATAAAAATATGTAAATTTATCTTAGATAAAGATGATTTGGTTTTAAATATATCTAGATAAAAAATAAAATTATGTGGCGCTTCATCTATACAATAAACTTCCAGATAATATATATTTTTATTAAAAAATGTAAATTATATAAAAGAAATATAAAAACTCATAATTTTATGTATAAGTTTTTATTGTTTGCTGCTCAAGTATTCTTTTAGGTATATTTTTATTTTATCTTTATCCAGCTAATTTCAAAATCATCAACACGGACCGTACAAACGCGCGTGTAAGCACGAAAACCCATGTCGGGCATGAATATTCCGGGGCCGCACGCAAATTGTCCTTGCTTGAATTAATTGCGACCGCATTAATTGCCGCGCTCTCTTTTCCACGCCCCGGTCTCTTTTGCCCAATTGCGAGCAATTCACCCGGGTGGCCTTCGCGGGTCAATGCTAGCCGCCTAGATCTAGCCGCGCAGTTGGATTCTATTTGAATCCATCATTTGTCGCCATTGAGTACCCGTGACTGAAATTATTTATGCGCGAGCCAGAGAGAGACGAGATTAAGCTTCTCCTCGTAGATGGTCTCGCGAAACGTAGACGTAGACGTAGACTACGCTACGGTGTAGGTATGTAGGTACAGATGAATGACCGGTCATCGGTAAATGGCCACTTAAACCAGTACCTATTTCTGACGTCATAAAAGTAATACCTTTTTCTCTTCTCTCCGTTAAATAGAAAAGAGACACATAGTTGACGAAGAGACACATCTGCGATTCAAACTGTTTACTGTTTCTTTGACAATTCGAAACGGCTACACTTCGTATGTCAGCTTGCAATATTCCGGATGTATTTTGAGATTTAGGCTCGCGGGTGCTACGCAGCTCAGCCAACTGACGAGTTTATTCTTGCTGCAACATTAATAAAATCCTTGATAATTAAATTATATTGTAATGTAAAAGATTTTTTCCGATTTTTTATTTTATTTTTCTACTATTTTTTTCCCTCAATATTGCTTCTTCTCACCTCTTCGACATGCTTTGTAGCAATTCCTGCGACAGACACGGATGTAGCTGCAAGAATGGAGTGCCGAGGATAGGATGAATCGCTTGCGATAATTCCATGTAATTTAATTTGGAATCGTGAATAGTTTGAGCTTCATTTACGCTCATCGCGTTAATACCAGGGAAATCTAAAAAGGAAAAAAAAGAAGGAACGTCAGATCTCTTTCTCTCTCACGACAATTTCTTCTCGTTGACGAAATACATGCTATATGTATAATATATGTATGTAAAGGATGACCATCGGCGTTAATAATTAATCTAAACGGCGTACGACGCATTTCCGCTCCGCTAAAATCCGCGTTATCGAAATTAATTATACCGTGTCGGAATATCTGCGCGAATATATCAAAATAGGTGAACACGCGTTTATAATCAATAAACGATGCATATACAAGACAGGGGATGAGGCACGAGAATGTGTCAACAACCGCGCAAACGGGATGCTCATTTCTACAAAATTTTGCATCCCCTCGTAGCTTTTCTTTTTTTTTATTCAGATGTATATATTTTCGATAAAGGTTTTTTTTTTGTTTCTCACCGGTAAATGACCAATTTCTTTCTTTTTTTCGACAAGTTATGTTTACTGTGCAATGTTTATAGAGATGATTATCTAGATAAAGTTTGGTGTCTCATCTCATTTTTATATAAATAATAAAAACATTATATCTATATCTGCATTTTAGATGAAAAAAAATGTTATCTTTACTAAATTAGCTAGAATAATGTTCAGATAATTTGATTTAGGATCATAAAATATTTAAGCAGTAAAACAATAAAGACTTATAAATAAAAATATGTATATATTTTTATAATTCACATTTTTAACTGTGTTTACACATGCAGTTTTAAAATTAATATTATCTAAAAATTATCTGGATGAATTATTTAGATGTAAAATTATCTACATTGTAATATAATTTTATCTTTTATCTAGATATATTTATAAAAATCATTTTTATTTTATCTAAAGTGAATTTATATAATTTCATGTCATCTTTATCTAGTTAATTTTGAAATCGTCAAAGCACAACACTTTACCCAGCAAACACAGTATATAAATGTTATATACTCAAGCATGTTACATGTAACGTATATGTTAGTTGTAATTTCCCACTCATAGATGTAACATTTTCAATATTACATATATTACATTGTAGTTATATTGTCATTATATCCCAAGATAGCACTGACTTATCAATACATCAATGTGCTATTTGGTATATAATTACAATACAACTACAATGTAATATATGTTATATTAGAATGTTACATCTATGAGTGGGAAATTACAACTAACATGGATGTTACATGTAACGTACACGTTATATTACCTGTTACATTCCGTTTTATTATAGCAATGTAACAATTATATATCGGTATTTGCTGGGTATTATACCTGATCTCCATCCATTGAAGAAGAGAACTGGAACGCCGTAACTCATGGACCACAAAATGTGATGCTCGGTGATGAAAGGACTTTCGAGTGAGTTGGAACGAGGAGCCTCGTGTGGATCCTCCTGAAATTTCACGTGGAATTCCTCCTCCTCCTTCTCCTCCTCATCGTTTCTCATAATAACGGAGTCGCTCATCGGCACGAAACACTTGATTCTTCTAAATAGATACGCTTGTCCAGGAATATCCTAAGCGTGCACATCATCAGGACAAATAAAAAGCGAAATTTCGTAAATTACGATGAACACATCACCGAGAAACAATAAATCTATTTCCCGAATCTTGGCCTGCGTTCAAGACGACATCCGCCCCAAGTGCGCATGAGTAAGATCACTTATTTGAATATCTATTTGAGTATTATTACAAATATATAAGCTTTCGTTGTATTTGCAAACACACGGATACAGTCACAGTAACAATAATATATTACCAATTGATTTGCATAATTTTACATAATTCGTAATGCAGAGTTATTTATTTCTACCTTATCTCCGCGAAACTCCCATCCGTCCGATATCCTGTCGGAGACAACGAGAAACCTTTCCGCATCCTGGAGAAATTCCTCCCATGTAATTGTGCCCGGACCGTCCATGTGTACGTAAGAAAGAGAGAGAAAGAGGCTAAACATCGGGAAATTTATTTCTATAGTCGCGAAGGATTCCTAAATAGCACAACATATCCGAAAGATATTCAGAGGATATGCAGAGGACATATTCAGAGAACATCCTCAGGATGTGTGCTATTAGGGGTCACATATAAATTAAGTCCTACCTTAATTCTGATGACATTTAAAAAATACAATGCAATATATATATATATATAATTCGATTGAATTTGAAGAAAAGATATATACTTAGCGAGATGCTACTACGTCTCCTGATTAAAAAAAAAAAAAAAATATATAGCGTGTTTCAAAGTTCTCCAAGTTAGTATATATAGTCTCTCTCGATTAATTCTCCATTCGCCGCGTGATTTATCACGCTTCCTCTTCGGATCTCAATTCGAAAGAGGGATCATCGAGAGAGGGAGAAAGAGTAAGAGAGAATTACGAAAGAGTTTCGTCTAATTTCGTATATATATATAACGATCCGACATACAACCTGCGTCGATCGTATGATAAAATTGAAAAGGGGGAAGCGGTTCGCCCGAGAGAACAGCGTGCCTCCTCCCGCTCGCTCTGCCGTTCGCCGTTCTCCCTCCACCGCAAACTCTCTATCGCGTCAATTGTCGACTATTTCGCGTCGGTCGCATCCGTCGAGCCTCGGGCGCGATCGGGCGTCCCGGCTCTTCGTTTTCCCGCTTCACCCCTCCCCCCCCCCGTTCGACCTACTCGTCATCGGCCCCCCCCCCCCTCAATCTCATGTACGCACGCCGATACTCGATGTGTGTGTGTGTGTGTGTGGGCGCGTGTGCAACATCGTCACGCTCCGTATGTATGCATCGGATACTCGTCCTCCAATCGGGCGTCGAGTTGCAGCCAGTGACGTATCGGGATGAGAGCGTCGCCCTCTCCTCGTCCATCTAGTCGAGAGGGGGGGGGGGACAGGGATCCTTTTTTGGGACAACTTCGTCCTTTATTCAACAATGTGCCGCGTCAACGTGTGTTTCGCGTATAATTTCTCGCTTGTTTTACGCCTGCGCCTTTATTGCGATATCGAAATATCGACCTATCCCAATATCGGTGCGTTTTTTGCGAAACGACGATATCGCGCGACCCCCCCCTCCCCCTTTCCCTCCCCCCTATGATGATATCCAGCCCGTCATGTCGCCAGGCATATTTTCCTCTAAAGCCGAAAATGCACTTTCAGGTCACGCTTAGCGGAGACAATCTGCTGCGATTCTTTGTCGGTTCTAAGTCTAAGATTGTTAATAAGCTGAGAACTGACGGAATATGTAAGTATTTTTTAATGTTCGTAATTTTTTAATGTTTTATTAAAAATTATCTGACAACTGCATTTTGTTTAATATAGCTCTTATAGCCCTTCTTTGTTTACAAACATTATTTTTTAATGATTTCGTAAAAAGTCACGCACAAATATATGTAAGTCTAACGTCGTTGCAACTATACCTTTTTTTTTATTGTAAGATAATTTGACATATGTATTTATGGATAACGTATAATGTAAAAAAATTTTAATATATTACATAAAAATATGTAAAATTTGTATAATTTTACATATTTTTATGTAATATTACATATTTTTTGCGGTGTATATTACAAATATAAAAAATTTTACACTTATTATTTATGTAATTTTACATTATTTGTTAATATTACATAAAAATATGTAAAATTATACAAATTTTACATATTTTTATGTAATATATTAAAATTTTTTTACAATATACGTTATCCATAAATACATATGTCAAATTATCTTACAATAAAAAAAAAGGTATAGTTGCAACGACGTTAGACTTACATATTTGTGTATATAATAAAATTTGTATAATTTTACATATGTAATTTTACATATTTTTATGTAATATTACATATTTTTTGCGGTGTATATTACAAATATAAAAAATTTTACACTTATTATTTATGTAATTTTACATTATTTTTAAATGTAATATTACATATTTCTTATTCCGATTCAACGGACTTTCGGACCAATATTTTTCTCGCCTATTTCTTTACAGGGGAAGTTAAGAGAGGAACAAGAGGAATTTCTGACAATGAGATCCCAATCACAGCAGGATACAAATTCCCTAGTTTCCAAATTTTCTTTCTATCTTAATTGTCGCAATAACATCGCGTGTGGCTCTATTGGCTGAGAGGAATGGAGTGTAGATCATATTTCTTATTGTTACAATGTATATTATTAAAAATGCATGAAACAAGAGATTCGAGAAAGTTTATACATTTTTGCAAATAATTAGTTATTCTTTGACGTTGATTAATATTTTATAATTAACAATTGCAATTCTATCGTAACATTTTTCTTTCCAGTAAAAAGAGATTCTATGATTTTAACGTTATTTTCTCTTTTATATTTGATTCTTTTCCCATCGGATGAATATATATGGTCCTTTTCAATTCTACAGTTCAGATATCGGCGCGACCTTCATTTTTCTTTGTGTATTCATATATAAAGTACTGAAAGAAATTCAATTAGGCAGGTAGGTTATACAGGTAAAGCAATGTAAACCGAACATTAACGTCCGGTTTCTCGCAGAAAATACATTGTTTGAACATAGCAGACTGTTTTTTCTGTGCGAAACGAAAGCGTACAATAAACAAAAGAAATATTATTTTTTAAAAATAATTTTTTGTTATAAAAAAAGTATAATAGAAACTCAGACAGTGTGCGACACACATGATAAAATAATGTGTTAAAAAATACATACATACATACATATATATATATATATATATATATATACATTACTGCGAAAAATTTTAGATGATTTGAGAAGATTCTTTGTCGAAAATTAACAATAAGAGATTTTTCGTATAAATCTACTATGTCTCTTTCTAAGGAATTACACTTCTTCAAAGGAGGTTTCTTTTATTATAAGTATATCATATATTTTTAGATCACATTCCGATCCGTTAAAAAGTCCTAATAAAAATTGTATAGAGGTTGTATTGTTAATTTTATCCCCTAACGATGTAGAAATATTAAAAAATATTAATAAGTATCCTTTTATTAGTGACAGGTATTCACCAAATTTCATTCTTTTCAAACACTCGTAATATTTGAAAAAAAATTAAAAACTTAATTTTCACCTTCCTTTAGTATATATTTGTACATAAAAATCTTTATTTTAATTTATTTTTATAAATAAATATTAAAAATATCATATATTAAATAATTTTTATACTTTATATTATATATGTATATATTTATACACAAAAAAAAAATATATATATATATACAATTAACTTTTAATAAAGAAACATCTCTTAAAATTTTTCGCACTTATTTAGAAACACCCTGTATACATAATAAATATATTTCAGACATAAAACGGATTTAAGTTTCTTTTATGTTTGCATTGTAGATGAAAATAAGTCGACCGCACATATCAGTGATCGCGGAGTTTCAAGTTCTAAGAAAATAACGCAATTTACGCAGCAAATCCATATATAACTGTATTCCCACTTTGATATTTCAAAGTTAAAGCATTAATAAAAAATAAAAATATATTCATATTATATATTAATATATGTATATACATTTTACATGTAAATTTTCGACAAAAACAATTATATATATATATATCTCTTCAAATTTTTCGCACACTTATTTAACACCCTGTATACATAAAAAAAATATATTTCTAAGACACAAGACAGAGGAATTTCAGTTTTTAAATAATACTTAAATTATACTTTTAAGCAAGCCTGATTATAACGCTATATCAGTGAAGGCCGTAAATTTCACAATCTCCCGGAGAAACTAAAAAAATTTTCTTACACACACAAAAAAATTACCTCGAATAATTACAGGAATAAAATTATCTCGAATATGCGATGTTTGTACGCGCGCGGTATGACCCGATTCGCAAGGAGAAAAAAATCTCGCGGTCGAGGGGGCACCGCCGGCGCCTCCTACCCGGGCAGCTTCGCTCGGCCCTGGCATAACAAGCGACAATGCGCGCGCATCGCTCGCAGCGCCGCGCGTCGATATGGCCGCGGGATCGAGCGAGAGGGTAGTAGGCGCGCGAGCGAGACGGAGCACAGCGGTGAGGCCGCGGCTATATCTACCAGTCTACTTATCTGCGTGTAGTCGTGCACGACGCGTGCGAAATCTACTAGCTACACTTCCGAACTTGCCCGTGTTTACACGACGGTATATAAGTTCTCGGACCCGCTTACGTCTTCTCTCTTCCCTCCTTCCCCCATTTATCGTTCCATCTCTCCGTCCGCGTATAAGTGTGCGTGCGTGTGTGTATGTGAGGCGTGCGTACGTGCGCACGCGCGCGTAGAATGTAGAAGTGTATGCACATTACGGTCGCGGTTACACAGGGATACACCGTTCCCGTGTTGCGGGACGCTCTCTCGGCTGGCGTGCGCGACAAAGCAAGACTCGTCCAGGTGACGGATCGGGAGAGTTTATATCCTGGTGACGCGATGCGACGACGATAGTCCGACTCGGCTTGTTCGGAGTGAAGTGAGCGACATATAGTGAAGTGGTGTGATCCGAGACAATAGGATACACGCGTAACACGTACACACACACACACACACACACACACAAGAAGGAAGAACTTACTCGAGAGTAGGTGGAGCGATGAGGACGTCGCGGCGACCTGGCGCCGCCACCGACGATGACGACGCCGTGATGCGTCGCACCACATCCCTCCAATAAAATATATATAATACATACATCATACACACACACACATATACATTTTATACAAATATATATATATAATATATATATATATATATATACACCCATCTCTCAGAGAGGAACGTGACGTCGAAGGAAGACCTTCGGCTTATTTGTGTGTTCCAAGAGGTAGATAGAAAGCTTCATTTATTACGCACTCTGGGATAAATCCTCAAGAGAGAGAGAGGGAACTCACCTTCTCGCTCGCGAGAAAAATAGTTTGACAGCGGAGCAGGACGACGAGGACGTCGGCGGAGGCACGCCGAAGGGATCACCGTCGCCCGTGCGAGCGAGCGAGACAGACGACGCGCACGCGTACGCGCGCACAACGGCCGAGCGCACACGGACGCGCGCGCGCGCGCGCGCTACTCCCCGATCTTCCGTGCCTCACTTCACTCGGCCGCGCTCCGAGCCGAGCGGCGCGACTACCAGCGGCGGCGGCGCACTTGTGTTTACGGTGGAAGGATTGACCGGCCGCCACCATGTACGCCAAGGGAAAAGGGTCGTCCGTGCCTTCGGACTCTCAGGCGAGAGAGAAGTATGTATTTCTTTTTCGCCCCCGCCATCGTTATTTTCCGAAATTCGGGAAAACTCGCGGCCATTGATCGCGACACGGCAGCTCCATTTTTCTCTCTCTCTCTCTCTCTCCCTCTCTCTTTCTCCTTTTCCGCGTTTCCCCTTCCTCCCTTTGGCTTCTCATCCCTTCCTCTTTCTCCGTCTCTTTCACCGGTTCTCAGTGTTGTGCTTGCAATGATTTTTAAATTAGCTGGATAAAGATGAGATGAAAATATGTAAATTCATTTTAGATAAGATGATTTTTTTTGTTTTCAATATGTCGAGATGAAAGATACAATTATGTGACGATTCATCGAGACACAACTCATACTTTTCACACTTTTATTTATAAATTCTTACCATTCACTGTTCAAGTTTCTATTAATTATTTTTTATGTGCTATACAGGGTGTCCCAAAATTAATAGCAAACCTTTTAATGACAGATTCCTGGGATTATTTGGAAACGATTTTTCCTTAACGAAAATGTCGATACATCAATTTTCGAGTTATAAGCGATTGAAAATAAGGGTTTTTTCGCAAACTAAGCATTGTGGAAAGAAAATATTAACAAAATCACATTCTTTTATTAATTTCATGTAGAGTTTACTTTAATAGAACTTTAATTGGCTTAATTACGAAGATACATGATGGTAAAAATTAGAAACATGCAAAAAATGATGAAGAAAAATCGTCTCCAAATGATCCCAAGAATCTGCCATTAAAAGGCAGCTATTAATTTAATTTTGAGACATCTAGTATAACTCTAAATGAAATTATCTGAACATTATTCCAGATAATTTCATGAAGATAATATTTTTTCATTCTAACAATAAGATGCAAATGTTAGATAATATATATATTTTTATTACTACAAAGATGAGATGACGGCAAAATTTTATCTAGATGATCATCTGTAATAAATCTAGAATTTTATAATTTAAATCTATAATTTTATATCGATAAACAGCAAACACTGCACTTCTTTTTGTTGCTCGAGGAACCCGGTTCGTCAGGTTAATCCGGTTGATGAGCTGATTTGTTTCTCTCGCTCTCTTTGTCCGTGTTTCTCTCCGAAACGTCACTCGTCACATGCGCTTCCCGCCCTCTCGAGATCGATTCTCGAGTCTCTTTGACGTAAGGAAAGGTTTTGGATCGTTTTATCGCGATTATACAGACATCTCGCGAGATAAAAAGTCTCGCTGTCAAACCGAGTAATCTCGATTTCCAAGTTTCGATTCGGAGTTCGCGAAACGCGAACGGTACTTTTAAAGTTTTAATTGAATTTCAACAGGGAATTAGTTTCTTTTTTGTTTTTTTTTTTTGCTGAAAAAGTTGGATCAATTGACCGATAAACGGATTCAGATTGTAGCCATTTTTGACGATTTAAAATCGTTTTTTTTTTAACGCAATAAGTTTCCTCTCCAATTTCCCTCCAGATTGTGAACGCGCATTAATTTTATATATCGAGAAAGCGAAACCGAAACGAATACACACTTTGTAGAATAAGGTCGGGGGAACTCATTAAAAATAGAATCGGTCCGTCAAAACTGTCGGCTAATTCTAGATCTAAATCGCATTACGATTTCGTTCGGCTCCCTCGGAATCTAAATTGCGAGAAAAATTAAAAATTAATTCGTATTTACGCATTTGCAGTTGCAGTTGCAATCCTAATAATTCAAAAAGAAAAGACTCGACTGCTGCCAAAATTGTAACATTTAATATTTTTTTAATATTTAAATTTTAACATTTTTTAAAAAATTATAAATTAAATATATTTTATTATTAATATTTTTCTGAAAAAATATAAATTAAAGAAATGTAAAACACAAAAAATAAAAGAGACCAAAATAAAATAAAAAAAAAAAAATATGAAAAAAATGCGGATAGGAGAAAGAGAAGTTTGGGAAGAAGGAGAGAGGGATAAGAGAGCACGGTGTTAGAAATGTAGTCGACCGGTTGTTGGAAAATTGTTGAGCCGGGATTCCTCTCTCGCGTATAACCCGCTTTCTCGTAAAAGGCGATTGATCTGCTCGCGCTGTCAGTCCGAAGGGAGTGAATCGCGCTCCGATTCGCGAATCCGGCGTAATTCCCGCGCCATGTTCGCGAAGCCGGTCTCTCTTTCTCTCTCTTCTTCGCGAAATGCATTTCGCTTGGACGCACGTCTTGTGTGCATCTACACCTATACAGGGTGTCCCGTACTCACCGTATAACCTCCTAAGCAGCGAGCGTACGTCATTTTGAAGTACAATGACGTCATTGAACGTCAAAGTGACGTCGTTATCTGCCATTGAGAGCTCGAGTAGCAAATTGACGTCATTGAACGTCAGAATGACGTCGTTTTCTGCCATTAACAGTCTCAGTAGCAAACTGACGTCATTGAACGTCAGAATGACGTCGTTTTCTACCATTAACAGTCCCAGTAGCAAACTGACGTCATTGAACGTCAGAATGACGTCACTTTCTGCCATTGACAGTTCAAGTAGCAAACCGACGTCATTGAACATCAAAGTGTTAACGTCATCTTAAATATATTTTGTTACTTTTATGAAAAATATAAATTTAAAAATTTTAAAAAACAAGAAATAAAAAAGACAAAAATGAAATCGACGTTTAGTGACGTCAGTTTGCTACTTGGCTGTTAATGACAGTTGAAATCATTTGGAAACGATTTTTTTTTTCAACGAAAATGTCGAGGCATCAATAATTGAAAAAGGATTTCTCGCAACTTTGTAGAATTAAAATATTGATATAAAACTTTGAGAAAATTTTAATTTAAGGCTTACAAATTGGGAACGTGCAAAAAATGATAGTCTCCCTCGACATTTTCACCGAGGAAAAATCGTCAAAATAGGGATCTGCCATTGATCCGCTAATTCTGGGACACCCTGTATACCTGTATACTGCCTACGCGCGGGGAAAGTCGGCGTTAAAAACTTTACGTTTAACGGACGGCCCCATAAGGAAATGCGAAGAAGGCGGCTTCGTCGTGTAAAGTACGGGCTTTCTAAAACGATAATAAAGAAAAAAGAATGCAAGAAGTTACGGAAGGATCGTCATTTGCATAATCCAAGTCTCCCGTCTATGCTTTTTCTACCGCGCGTTTCATATTCCTATTATCTCCAAATTTTAGCATTATTTTAAATTTCTGTATATTTTCTGTCTGAACACTTATTTGAAATTGAAGAGTTTTCTCGTTTAAAAGTGTCTAACTATATGTACTTGTCGTTTCTTTTCAGATTGGCACTCTATGTGTATGAGTACTTGCTACATGTAGGTGCACAAAAAGCAGCACAAACATTCCTATCAGAGGTAAATATACCAAATCAGGTATGTGATAAGGGTGAACTTTTTATAAATTTTTTTTACACAACTCGTATATTTTGAAATATTATTTTTATGCTATTAAGATCTCACATATGGGCGGAGACTCTATACATACATGGCGCCGAGAAGCCCATATTTAATATAGTGTTATTATGACATAATGTGATATTTTATTTATTATATGTTTATTAATATGCAAAACATTTGTGATTGGGCTAGTACAAATCCAGGCCAAAGAAAACTCATTGAAGATGAAAAGATATTTCAAGCAGGACATATAATATATATTATAATATACATAATATATATAATATAATATATATATATATATATAACTTTTATAGGATGTGGAAAAAAAATCCCGCAATCCATAATAATGACACTAGTCGACAAAAAATGACTTTTGCAGGTTCGGAGATTTCCAAAGCCTGTTCTTGCAGATTTTTTCATGTTGATTACGAATCCGGCCGCGAAAATTGCGTATGAGACGTAATAAAAATCTTTTTTTTTTTATAGATTTATTATAAGTTATTAATAAACCCTCACTTATTTTCACGAACGTTAAATTTTTGAAATTTTGATCTGCCATTTTTAATTAAAAAAAATCTGATTTTACATTCATTATTTATCAGTGATTGAAGAAATTTTTACATATTAATATTTGTGAAAAAAATGAACCATTCTATCGAACCTGTAAAGATTTTGTATTAGTATAATATAAGGAAAAATGCGAAAAATGATATTTTCAATTTTTTAATTTAGTTTTTTTAATAAACTCTTTATAGGTTCGACTTTTTATATATTTTTTACATAAACTACAAGTCTTAAGCTTTATTTTGAGCCATCATAGCACTTTTTATCACGTCCCAATTAAAAGCTATATATTTTACAGAAAAGAGTCTAAAATGGCTTTTTTCGCATCTCTCGATCAATATATCTAAAAAACCTGATGTAATACGCAATTTTTGCGACCGGATTCGTAATCAGCATGAAAAAATCTATAAGAGTACGCTTCGGAAATTTCCGAATCTTTTTGTGTGTCGAACAGTATAATTAATTAAAAAACATTTAATTACTATGCTAATAAACAGTGGGCTTTGCTGCTTTTATTTTTCGCCACCAGATGTCATGATTAAGGATGTCAGATTCCAATAATATTAATTGTTCCGTTATTCTAGATTCGATGGGAGAAAAATATCACACTTGGGGAACCACCTGGGTTTCTGCACTCTTGGTGGTGGTAAGTGCTTAATTTACTATGCTTAGCTTAATTGACTGACATATTAACTTTTAAGCAACTAAAAAAACTTAACTGTTAAAAAGAGCCAATTTTTACTTCATTTTTTGTTATATAATATTATTAAAAAATGTCTATTGTAAAGATATCTTTAACATAACTGACTTAATGTAACTGTTGTAAAATTATTTCAGTGTCTTTTGGGATCTGTACTGTGCGGCGCCCGAAAGAAGAGATTCCTGTGAACACAGCAGTGAAGCCAAAGCATTTCATGACTATGTAAATATACTAATATATTAATAGTAAAATGATTTTTTTGACTATTGACAAAATTATCATTAACTATTTAAAAAAAAATTTTAATATCAATAGAAAAGTTAATATTTAAATATAAATATAATATTTAATTAAATTATTAAAATATATAATATTTTAATATAATAAATTTTATAACGTATTGCATATTGCTTACTATGTGTATTTTGTCGTAGGGATTTGTGAACAGTGCTTACAACGTCAATGGTATTGCGCATGTAAGTTGACAAATTTATATATCAATACTTTTTAAGTATATTTCTTAAATTTTCTATTTTAATACATATTTATATATTTATAATTATAAATTGATATCATTTTATTAAATCAAGTAATTGAGAATAAATACAGTAGTCGAGGAAAGAAGCACATATTCTTTTTATGAACTAGATATTTTTTTCCAAGCTAAATAAAGCTTATATTAAATACATTTTACATTAATACTACAAAATGTTTACAGAATGCTGGTCCAGCCCCATCTCCTATTAGTCAGATGCCACCAAATGATGGAATGCCTGGTGGTCCCGGAATGCCTCCCGCTTTCTTTCCAGTGAGTCTTCATTTATATTACAACATTAAATTGTCTTAATATCATTCGTTTTCCTCAATCTTTACTTGCAGAATATGAAGTGAAAAAAAAAACACCATCGATACTTGGCTTAATTCAGCCATCATGTAATTGCATTTATTAATCTTGCGTTAAAATGCAGTATAATCTTTGGTGAAAGATTCATTCAATCTCAATTTATATTTATTTTATAATAATCTTTTAATACATATCTTTTCCAAGATATTCTTTCGAATAGGTTTTGCACGAGAATTATTAGATATTTTGGAGAGAAAAAGAAAATATTAAAATACATTATTAACAAGTGTTAAGTAAAACTTAATCTCATATTAATAACTTGTCTTATAGATATATTTAATATAATATTTATATGTATGTACATATTCATAATCACATTTGTCTGTTATCATTGTTATGCATACATATAGTTTTGATAAATAATTTACACTTGATTCAAAGCATAAAGCAAAATTAATAATCAAATAATTAATAAATTAGGTTAATTAAAAATTATAAATGGTATAAAATATAACTCAGTAGTAGGTCAAAAGGACAGTTTTAATTTGCACAGTAAATCAAGAGAACGGAGAAATATAAAGAAATTGTTAATATTTTATTGAAATATTGTTTTAAAATTATCAATTAATTTTGTAAAAACTTCAAATATTTTACATCTAGATAGACGGTAGAACTAATTTTTCCTATATAATATCTTTTTAAGTTTAAAACAAACAAACGGATAATACATTTTTACATAGTGCATATTTATTTAACTAAGCATATTGATGTGTCCCTATATTATCGATTAAATGTACACGCATTAGCTGTAGTTCGTCATCAACTCGTTTTGAAACAAGTGTACATTCAAAAGAAACGTTCTTATGTCATGCTTGTCTATACTGTATATATGTTACTTACTTTCTCTCTGCTATCTAATACTTGTATGTGCGTTCTTGTACCATCTTCACTGTTTCATCTTCTTGACGCATAAGGCAAATTTAGAAATTTTATATGACGCGAACAGGATTATATACATATATATATATATATATATATATATATATATATATATATATATATATAGATGTTAGAATACATTAAGCACAATATTACTGTGATACTGAAAGCATATTACGATGAGTGTATTGCTTTGTGCTGGTCGTGTATATCATAATAATATGCGAAAATATTATAGAAAGATATTGTTTTTAATTTGTTACATCTGCAGAATGTAATTCAATATTGTACATGGCCAGCCAAAGTTATACTCTTTAGAATGGGACAACTAACATGGAAGCCTGCTTAGAGTGTAGTCTTAGTCTCTCTTTACAAGTGGACCGCGATTTTTTCGCACTATTTTTCACAAGCGTGTTAATTTTATATAAAATTGAATTATTACCAGACTAGTTATACATATCGATTTATAAAAATTGAAAAAGTTTACAATCTTAAAGTATATGTGAGATATAAACTATGTTATATAACTTTGTGAAATAATAATAGATTTATAAAAGACAATCGCACACAAAAAGCAAAAAGTAGGACAAATAGAAACTTTTGATTTTTGATTTTATTAATTTATAAAAATTTTTTATGATGTATAAATACAATTTTATAATTTATATAATTGATAAATTAATAACAACCATAATATTTGTATTGATTAAATTAAAGTATAAATTATACAATATACAATATAAAGAAAATAGAAATTTTATAAAAATATGTAAAATTTATGTAAAAAGGGCAAAATGGAGAAAAATCATTAATTTATTGCTTGTCAAAGTAGCCACCCTTGTACTAGATTAGACAAAGATAAAATATTTTATGGTATATAAATGATGCAGTTTCTCTTTAGATCTCTCCAACATAATAGAGATTTCGTAATGCTTAGGAATCATCATATCTTCCCTACAAAATTCATTTTCTACAACGCTGTACATTTTACAATTGATTGGCATCCTTTTGTACTCTTGTGTGTCTCGTTTCACAGTTTTAGTGTTAGAAACGATCTTTCACATGCGAGTTGTAATTATGAAAAGAAGATGCGTACAAGGACAGATTGAGAAATATGAAATAAAGTATAAGAAATTGATATTTTCCTAATTACAACTTCTCTCTCTTCTCTCTCTCTCTCTCTCGGGTAACTCTTAAGATGCTGAGACCGATAGTATTAACACAATCATCCCCCCAAAAGCCTTCTAGTCTAGCTGTTGCCTGGATCGCAGTGTTGCTACATGTCTGTCGTTTGCGTTGCTTGTTGCAGAACAACTCGACAATGCGACCATCTCCGCCCACACACCCCTCATCACAGCCATCCCCCCAGCACCCCCAGCCACCCCCGCCCCCACACTCGCAGATGATGCCCAATCAGGTAAGCCTCATTCAACACATACACTCTCACTCTCATAAAGAATCACTTGTTCCGCTGTGTCATCGCACCATATCATGGCATATAATCAGGGTGTATACTCCCTGAAAAACCTGGAATTTTCAGGGAATTTTGTTCTACCTTGAAAAATCCTGGAATTTTTAAAAAATTGCTCCTTTGATTTTAAAATATAAAACTTATTAGTTTTATATCAAGTATATATTAAAATATATTTTATTATAAAAATATATTATATTAAAAATTACTTCATTTATGTTAAAAAAATTATGTATAACAAATAAACTTATTTTAAAATTGTATTCTAAATATTATTTAAAATACTTTAATTTTACTTGGAATTTTGAACAAAAGTACCTAGAAAATCATGGAATCCTCAGGGAATTTATTTCTAAGATTTGAGTATACACCCTGTATAACCGAAACTTATTATTGTCGTCATAATTGCTATAACTGTTTCCTTCTCGATGTTCGACTATGCTATAAGAGGAAATATCTATCGCTCAAGGTTTATCTACGATAATGTTTTCTACATAATATTATTACAGTTTTATAACAAATGTGTCATTCACGTTCAGAAAATACTTGAAAAATACATGTAATGATTTAACCAACTTATGTGCTGCGATGAACTTGACTGAACTTGTATATTTTATGGCCTATCATCTCACGGATTGCTTATTGTGGCTGCCTGGTATTTATATTATATCTAGCCAGTTCTGTGTATAGAGAGTATAATCATGACTGACACCTTATACGAATATTTTTCACTCACAAACTAAAATTATGATCAACATGATGAGAACTCGTTTTCTGTTACAGTTTATGGGTCCCAGATATCCAGCAGGACCACGTCCCGGAGTACGTATGCCACAAATGGGCAATGATTTTAATGGGGTGAGTATACTTCTATTATTATTTAAAAATATATTGTTAAAGTATATAAACAAATAAGAAAATATATTTCAGCTTTAAGGTTTCTAGCTCCTTACCGACCATGTTGGATTGTGACGTCAGAGACGAGAAACACGCTAAAAATGCTTAGATGTTATTTCGAAATATCTTTTTATTTTAAAAATGGCATTTAAGACTTTTCAACGTGTGCTTTCTCTGACGTCATAATCTGACATGATTGTGGCGAGGACCAAAAATTTTAGCTTTAATATATTTAATAATTTATTCTTAAAATTCTAAATTGATATAAGAAATATGAAGATGTAGTATCATGCATAGAATATTGGAAATTTATGTGATATTGAAATTTTTGCAGCCACCAGGACAACCAATGATGTCAAATAGTATGGATCCTACTAGGCAAGGTAAGAGATCACTTACATGCCGGTGTTACATTACTTTTTTCTGGCATTGACGAGAATTGCGAGAGGAGAATGGCATAAACGCATGCGTACCAAAAACCACACAGCAATAAACGAATAAGTAATATTTCAAATTGGATTGGATTGCTGTGATGTGGAGTGGATTGGTTTTTGAATTGTCTAGTTACAAGCAGTGGTGTAGTTTGCGTTCGATTGTTACTGCTATATATACAGTTTTGTGTAATTAGTATGCAAATATGTATCTCTCTCAATGGTTCTCTCTACCAAATATTTTATTTGATATGCTTTTATATGAATTTTTTTTCTATTTTCCTCAACAAGTAATTTGTACTGTTACGTATGATATATTGTGTCTTCCAGGAACATTCGGTCATCTCACAAAATCCAGATGCGAAAAAATGCAATTTATGATTAAAAAGTATACTTTTTTAAAGTATTATGAATTTTTATAGAATTGATAAATAATTTGTGCACTTAATGTAAATTTTATTAATTAATTACAGTCAACAATAGTTTACCTTAATTTTTTTACCAAGAACTGTTTTTAATAATTCATGAGTAAGTTGTATAATTATTAAAAATTCAATATAACTTTTATTTACTATACCACTGCAAAATAACTAGGCTTTACCACCATGAACCTGACCTTACCTACCTGCCGTACTAATGTGTGCTCTTGTGTTCCTCAGGCGAAGCTGGAGAATTTGTAGGGTGGCAAGGTAGGAAGCAACCCAGCAACCAAATCACACTCACATTAATTAGTCGAACCTAACTTTCATTTTTTTTCTCCTCCTTGCCTTTAATTTTTTTTAAATTTCCATTTTATATAATAAAGATATAAGAATTGTGCACCGGCTTTGCTCTACTTGCAAAATTGTTCGCTCATCCGAATTAGCATCCAGCATGACAATCGATTAAATATTTTATTGTTAGTTGTGTGTAGAAAGAAGTTTTATATAATTGCGTGATACGTTTGCGCGTCTTTAATTTAAAAAGAAACTGCAATATATGTAACTACTTTATATGGATATTTTTAAATTAAAAGGTACATGAATATGTCGCTGAGAATTTTTTTATCATGCTAAATGCAGATGCAAAAACTTAAATCATATTTGTGTTTAACAATATATTTAAAGTATTATTATTAATGCCACATTGTGTACGTCTGCCTCTCCTTGCAAAGCAACATAAATGATACACTATTCAATAACTATACAAAGCAAAAAATCGCTTTTACATATGAAATAACTGTTCAGAATTTAACGGTACAGCTAAATTTTATTTTATTTTTTTAAATTGTTGAATATATACAATTTAAATAATTGCAATGTCCTTTGCTTCCCCAAAATATCACTCTGTTTTCTATTTTCAGCATGAGCTTTTCACTGTTAATTTGTGTGGTGACAGTTGTTTGATCAGCATGTCATCCAAAGGCTTTTCATCTTGAGCTAGACTTTGCTGAAGCATGACTCTTCATTTTGGCACTTTGAGTCCGCACTTAATATTATCTTGCACACACGATAGAGCACACAATCTCATACACAAATTTATTATATATCGTAGACTTTACAAGTTCACGAAAGAATTTAGTCCACAAGATCGTAATTAGCAATTAGTATTAACATCAAGCTAGAACAAACGTTAACAGTATCATACTTAGCAATCAAATATACCAAACTTTACCTCCTATCTTAGGTCCGCCGGGAATGAGCCCTATGAATCCGAGGATGAATCCTCCACGTGGACCAGGCATGGGTCCGATGGGTCCTGGTAGTTATCCAAATATGAGGGGTCCGCCACCCAACAGTACCCTGGGCCCAGGCGGACCAGGAGGTCCAGGAATGCCACCGATGAGTATGGCTGCTCCAGGTGGCAGACAACAATGGCAACCAAACACATCTACGGTATAAACATACACATTTTTTCTGCACTTTTAACTGTGACTTTAAAGAGCACAAAGTTTCTAACACGTATCTTTTGTATGCAGCCGATGAATTATTCGTCGTCATCACCGGGTAACTACGGAGGACCACCTGGATCAACAGGTCCGCCAGGACCCGGGACACCTATTATGCCTAGCCCCCAAGATAGCAGCAATAGCGGAGGAGAAAATATGTACACCATGATGAAACCTGTACCTGGAGGAAATATGCCGGGTGTAAGTGTAATTGCTGAAACTAATCAGCTGTCATTTTTTAATACATGCAGTTATTGAGAAAACAACAATTGTGTAGGAAAGAGGAAAGGAAAATAAAATGTTTGTACACTAGTTTATTTTATATAAACTAGTGTACATAATAAAAAGTAAATAATAGATAAAAAGTAATGTAAAAGTGTGTTAATAATCACATAAAATTACACTGGTATACAAACATTTTATTTATATTCATTAAAAACTGTAGATTTTTCTCTTTTCAACACAATTTTTGTTTTCTTAATAACTGCATGCATTAAAAAATGACAGCTGACTAATTTCAGCAATTTCCTATGAGACACCTTGTATTTGACAAAATGGTAAATTGTTACAAAAATGAGTATATAAAAAATTATTGGTCGTTAAATCAAAATATATCTGAATTTGGTTATTCTAAATGGCAGGCCAAACTTTGCTAAAAAAATCACATAAAAATAATTTATTTAAGCTTTATCAAAAATATATTAATATTTTAGATCCGCCATTTTAAATTTGAAATTCTGATGTTATATTCGGATTCAGCGACCTCAAATACCTTGATACGAAAATTATTACGGAAATATAAGAATTTTTTTTTTATACACTGGTGGCACGAAAATCTCATTCTTACCACAACTACGAAGGGGTTAAATTCTCATTATATTCACTATTGTATGTATTGAACTAGACTTTTTTTTAATTTATAAAAGCAATCGATGTTGGAAGTATTTATATAAAAACGTGGGCGATATTTTAGGATTTCCCAATGAGTGGTGGACCAGAAGGAGGCCCAATGGGACCAATGGGTCCTAATACAATGGGTCCGGTCCTAAATGGCGATGGTCTTGACGGAATGAAAAATAGTCCAGCGAATGGTGGCCCCGGGACACCGCGAGAAGATAGCGGTAGCGGAATGGGTGATTATAATCTGGGAGGATTCGGAGCTCCTGGAGAGAATGTGAGTATGCACAGGTTCTTTTGCAACTACTCCTAATGGTGACTCGATGCGTTGTTGTGGATTTGTATGCCGATGACGATTTCCTTTTGTCCATCCATTTTATTGAAGAGGAAGAGTAGTCTGAAACAGAAAGAAACAATTTTAAATTATTTTACGTTTTTTCGACACGATTTTCTTTATACGTGTTATATGGCATACAAATTCGTGTTACAACTTGTTGCCCTTTTCTAATCATCTCAATTAACAGCCACAAGCGCTTCTATCAATACGGCGGATATTTCACGTATTTTGCTAAAATAATATGGGTTCAGTCACGTTCAAAGGGAGTTTTGATCTTTAGCCTCGCTCCAACAGGCTTGTTTGTTAATGCTTTCTTACAGAGTACTTGTCCCATAAATTTTACGAAAGGTGTTCTGTTTAATCACGCGTTATATGGTATTTTGGCAAGTTAATCAGCCAGTCACATTTGATCGCATCTAATAATGTCATATAACCGTATTCGCTGAAATTGCGTCTAACTACTATCGCACTAACAGTTTGTCTAACGATGCAGTTGTAAAGTGGGCAGAAAGATGACGAGACTTAACGTAACGTTCATATAATATAAGCTTAATGTACCTTATTTGATATAAGATTATAAAATCGTGAATATAACTATTCACTTAGATTTTATAAAATCTCATTATTTTTAATATGATATATTTGAGATTTTATAAAATCTCATTATTTTTAATATGATATATTTAATCGAGTTACATGAATTAAAGTTAATTCTTTAGAAGATAGCACATTTATAATCTTTTATTTTTTAAGTTAGTAATTATTCTTGAATTTTTTCTGCGTACTTTATGAAGTAAGGTATCAAATTATTTTCGTGCGACAAAATAACCGAACCTTTGATTGAATCGCGTAAACAATTTTACATGCTGTTGATCTTATATGCTGTTGTATAAAATTATTATCGGTAGGATATGACAAGGAACAGTCACGACGCTTTTATCCTCAATTTTTGTTGAAACTTTGTCCATTTGTATGATAATTGAAATTAAACAAAATACTTTTGCCAAAGACAAAAATTTGCACTTATGAGATTTCAGCTCGAAAAATTGATATACGTTTGAAACGATATTTATATTTATATTTATGTAGTAATAACTTCCCATAATTTTAAAATTTGTTAAACGTAATTTTTAGTATTTTTAAATTAATTTAAAGTATTTTTATATTAATTAGTATAATAAATATTTTTATATAATTAGTATAATAAATATTTTTAATTATTAATTTTCATATTTTAAGGCTCCTGGGTCCTTGCCATGTTGGATTGTGACGTCAGAGGCGAGAAAGCACACGTTGAAGAAATTCTTATATGGTTTTAGCATACTTTAAAATATCTCGACAACTATTTTTTTCCTTTAACAGTAAATCAACAACCATAAAATGGTCGCGATAGAGATTTTGCCATGTGGAATGACTGCGCATGTGCAAAGATTAGACTTATATTACAATCATTTTACAGTTATTGATTGATTATAAAGAAAAAAGGATCCCAAATAGAGAGCAAGCGTACATCATTTTGACGCTAGTCTGCTACTTGGGATAGTTTTAAGGTATTTTAAGAGTGTACTAAAACTAATATAATCATGATATCAGACTTTGCCATGAGGAATGATGTTATTAGACGTCAAAGTGACGTCATTTTGACGTTTAATGACGTCAGTTTGCTACTTTTGGATCATATTTATCATTTTAGTTGTTGATTGGTTATAAAGAGAAAATAATAATTTTTAAGATATTTTAAAAGTGTTAAAGCCATCTGTAGTGCTATTTCATCGAAATATCTTTTTATTTTAAAGTGGCCTCTAACGTCACAATCGTAACATGATGATCGGTGAGGAACCAGGAGCCTTAATTAAAAAGCTTTTTCGAGGACATTGTTTTTATCCAATGTGAAATATTTATCAGTAAGAAAGAAGAAATATTGAGCTTCGATATTATTTTGATTACAAATTCGTCGATTCCCAAGCGGCGGCGTCGCGGATGTTCCTTGCGAGTTATCCGACGAGAGAGTTATCAGTAATCACGTACGTGCACCTTCTCTGTATTCTCGACAGTTTTTTTAAAAAGTCGCCTTGGAGTCGCCAGCCCCGAGTTCGTAGATGCCGTAGACTCTACACGTGATGCCGGTATAAACATATACACGTAACGTGTGTGCAGAAAAAAAGCATCGTACGCTCGCTGCATCGTATTCACGTGTTCCATGGTGCGTTCCGGCTAGTTTCATTACACAGTCCGGCCACATGTAGTTTCGTCAGTGGGCTCATATAAAAACGCAGTTGAAAAATTTCTGTTAAATTTAACAGATATCATATGTCCCAAACAATCCACAGAAATTTTTGTGTTAATTTAACATAATACGGATATATGTTCAATGCAGATACGAATACTGTGTTAATATTTTAACACGAAATAAGTGCAAACTTTCAAGTAATTTAAAATAAATTTTGTGTAAATTTAACAGTTTTGTAATGTGAAAATTAACTTTAAAAAAATGTTAATTTTACTTTTCATATCTTTTAAATTATAGAAAAACTCAAATTTTGTCTGTAAATTTTAACAGATGTCACTAATAAAACAACATATTTATTATGTAAAATTACAAATAGATGCACTTTTACACGTTTTCAGTTGTTTTAATAATTTAATATTTAAGGTCAATTAACACAGCAGTAATATGTTAAATTAACACACGAATGTGTTAAATATTTAACACAAAAATTTAACGGGGGCCGTTTTTAACGAGAAAACACAAATTTTCCTACTGTGTAGTGAGCTGTATAGGGCGAAAGAAAAGAAACGGAGATTATTCGTGTCAGACGCGGCGTTATTAATTGCTCCTACTCGATTAGGGTTAGCACTTAAGCGCTCATTCATTGCACTATTACTGCTACTACTATAACTACTACTACTATTACTACTACTATTCACTATACTACTAAACGGCGCAGATACTTTAACAACGAGATTATTCGTATTACACGTGCGATTTGCCGCGTAGGAATACAATATGTATATGCTTCTCTAAATACTCAGAAGGTTGCAAGACTAGATATATTCGTTTTTTTATGTCTTTTTTTACTATTATGTACTATTATTATTATTATTATATCTATAATTTGCTACGGAAACTAGCAAATATTTTACTTAAGATTTTTTAGCAGATTATTTTCTATTATTTATATTTATTTGACAATTAGATCGTAAGCAAAGGTGCCTGAAACATTACGTAAAGATTGTTACAAAGATACATCACACAAACACAAAGCACACACACACACACAGCCAAACATACACAGGGTGATTCGTTTACACCAATAGGATATACGTACATAACTGTCCGCTACTGTGATTACTAATCGCATAATTATTAATCGATTTTTACGTTCTTGTTTTTTTTTATCTCGTTTAAACTCATTACTTATTTGTATTAATGTTGTCAGTCCTTGCTACTCGGATACTTACAAATTTACAAATATTACCCGAGTACCAAAAATCGTCGAGTATCCGGATATTTCAGGTCACCACAAATACACAATTGAAAAATTTGTGTTAAATTTAACATATATTGTCATGTCCCAAACGGTCCATCAAAATTTTTGTGTTAACATAATACAGATATGTTAAATGGTGACATACTGTGTTGAAATAAATTTTGTGTAAATTTAACATAAAATTGTAAAATATAATTTTAAAAAATGTTAATTTTACATTTTATTATTTTTTATATTATAGAATAACATCAACGTTTTTTCCTGTAAATTTTAACAGATAAATCTTGTCACTAATAATACAGAACACATTTATTATGTAAAATTGAAAATACATGCAAATGGTGTTATTTTGACACATTTTTTTCAATTGTTTTAATAATTTAACATTTAAGTTCAAATAACACGATAGCAATATATTAAATTAGCACACGAATGTAATATTTAGCACAAAAATTTTAATAGGGACCTTTTTTAAACAAGAAACCACAAATTTTTCAACTACGTATGTTTATTAATATGTATTTTCAATTAATTAGGGATAGTGTTTACATTAATTTTATAGATATTGTCTATATTTTCTACACCCGAAATGATGCACACATATTAAATTAAAATATATAATATCATATATATATTCGTGTGTTGAAAGTTAGCCGAAAAATTTGATTTGAGAAATATTCTATAAATAATCCTCGATATTCGGTTACCTGGGTTTATTTGGAAAAATAAAATAATACAATCGAATCACCTGAAATCACCGGATACACGAATATTGACAGCACTAATTTGACCTGTTTTTCATCGCATTATAGAGTTAGTTAGCCTTGAATTTTACGACAGGGATCCCGCGCGTCCACGTGAATCTAATTTCTTAGCTTCTGCATATCTTCTTGCATAATGATGAATCACGAGACTCTGTAATGAGGTGAATAGGTCGTATCTATAGGCAAGCTCGGACCGAATCCCTCCATTTGTTTGCTCACAATTTGCTCCCTACATTAGGAGCAGGCGTCTTTTGCAGCGTCATTAGCATTGCAAAATACTCTTATGCGTGCACAGTTGAAAAATTTGTGTTAAATTTAAGAGATATCTCACATGTCCCAAACGGATGTCCACAGAAATTTTTGTGTTAATTTAACATAATATGGATATGTGATACAAATATTGTGTTAATATTTTAACACAAAATAAATTCAAAACTTCAAGTAATTTAAAAATAAATTTTGTGTAAAATTAACATTGTTTTAATGTAAACATTAATTTAGATTTTATCATCTCTACTTATAAAATAAAAAATCAACTTTTTTTTGTAAATTTGAATAAATAAATCTTGTAACTAATAAAACAAAACATATTTATTGTATAAAATTAAAATAGATGCACGATGTGTTATTTTTACATCTTTTTTCAGTTGTAGTAATATTAATATTTAAGTTTATTTAACACAACAGCAATATGTTAAATTAACACATGAATGTGTTAAATATTTAACACAAAAATGTTAATGGGGACCGTTTTTAACAAGAAAACACAAATTTTCCTACTGTATACATATTTTTGCTCACGGAATAAAAATCGCGAATGTACGTAGAAACGATTAGAATCTGATAGAACGAGGGAAGCTCGCGTAGAAGCTCCGATATTTTCTCAAATTAAATTTGATCGAATTCTCTCTAATCTCTATTTATATTTTTTCGGGACAACGACGAGTCGCGTTGTGCTTCTAATCACTTTTTTCCATATAATAATGTCTGTAATAGAAGTGCGATAATTAGAAATCGTTCCTAAAATCTGATCTCTCACTTGAAAATCTCTGTAGACTCGGTCAACGTTAGTTTCGCCGTCGTTCTTGTATAAAATATATATGTAAAGTTCTCGTCGCATTGCTCAATTTTTATTGTTCATATAGAGGACGAAAAGAGAGAAGAATCTTTAAAAAAAGGCAGAATTTTTAAGCTCTATTTTTAATCGTTGACCCTCGCGATTCGAACAACGATTCGTGTAAGTTAATCGGTCGGTAGTTTTCATCTCCTATATACTGGTAGCTAATTAATAAGATTGTACACTTTTGATGATGAGAGGCGGATTTTGCGAGGCGAATGGTTTACCGCTACTATATAGTTTAAACAAGGTACTTGAGAGAGAAAGTATAAGAGAAATTTTATATATATTTATATATGTATATACGTATATGTATATATATATATATATATATATATATATATACACATACGTAGACATATGCATATAAATATATATAATATATATATGCAGATGTTAATATTTTTGTATGAACATAAGATTACGTGCGAGTACTGAACCTTTTAATGAGCGAGTATAGATAGAGAAACGGAAGATATAATGCGATGTGGGTGAGAGGCGAGAGATTCCCGGAATCCATCCGTCCGCATTGATTGATTATAGGTCAGTACTGGACTATACTGTGCTGCTATTAGTTATGTTTAACTTATAGTGCTGAAAAAGATCATTGATGGAATTTTATGTAGAAAAAAATAATACACGGAGAAAATGTGGGTGTGTGAGGGAGAGAGAGAGAGAGAGTTAAAAGTGTGCATGCTCTGGGATCTCGACGGCAAGACGCGCTTGCAAGTTTTTTTTATTGTCTCGTAAAATAGCTCATTGTTAGAAAAGCTGAACGTTCTTTTTAACGCTTTCGTTTTTTTATACATTTTTTTATCTGGGATCGTGGATTAACTGATTGATCGCTATGATAAAAAAAGGTGTGTGTTTTTTTGCTTTACATCACATTTTACGCCACATTTGTAACAAGGTACGTTGTTGTAAGTACACAGATTTGATGTTATATAGACCAACGAAGCGAAAAATCATTCAAGTTTGTTTTTTTCTCTTTCGGTCTCATCGATCACTCGGTAGATCTTATAATTGAAGCTTGCAATCGAAACTTGCAAATCTACGAATTTGTTTTGCGAAATATATATCGCGGGATACAGCCTTGTTTGAAGGCTGCCTGTTGCCGATATTTTGGAGTCCACGTCTTGCCGTTCAGTCCACACAAATAGAAAACAGAGGGTTTGTTCTTTATTGCTGCACTGATGAACTAGTGCATACTGGTGTAGTTAGAGTGAACCAAAGGGTTTGTTCTTTACTGCTGCACTGGTGAACCAGTGCACACGTGTAATAAGTTAAAGTGAGATAAATATATTTTGTTTCATTCTAACTTACTGTACTAGTGTGCACTAATTCATCAGTGTAGCAATAAAGAACAAACCCAAAGTATACTTTGGTCTGTTCGTTTTAGCTGAATTGGTTGCACTAATTCAGAGTTTGGGTTTGTTCTTTATTGCTGCACTGATAAACTAGTGCAAGAAGTTAGAGTGAGACAAATATATTTTGTTTTACTCTAATTTACTGCAACAGTCTGCACTAGTTCACTAGTAAACCCAAAGTATACTTGGATCTGTTCCTTTTAGCTGAACTGGCTGCACTAATTCAGAGTTTGGGTTTGTTCTTTATTGTTGCACTAGTGAACTAGTGCAGACTGTTGCAATAAGTTAGAAAGAAACAAAATATATTTGTTTCACTCTAATTTATTGCACTAGTTTATCAGTGCAGCAATAAAGAAGAAACTCAAGATAAATTCTGAATTGATACAGCCAGTTCAGGTAAAACGAACAGACTTATCGGGTTTGTTCTTTATTGCTGCACTAGTGAACTAGTGCAATGAGTTAAAGCGAGACAAATATATTTTGTTTCATTCTAACTTACTGCATCAATCTGCACTAATTCACTAGTGCAACAATAAAGAAGGAACCCCTTGTCTCCCTTTAACTTGTTGCACCAAGTGTGCACCAGTTCAGCAGTGCAACAACAGAGAACAAAGCCAATAAGTACACGCGCTTGTACGGAATAATCCTTTCTTTTTCGATCACGAGGTATTATAACATACACGAGTCAATGAGTGAAGAAAAAGCTCGGTGAAGCGGCGCATTGAGGGTACGAAGCTCGAACAGGACTCGGTCTTGGGATGGGTCTCTCGAAAATCA